CCAAAGCTGTTGCGTCACAAAGGAAAAACACAACCGTTAGGGTAGAAAACCCCAATGCATAGAATTATGGGATGGGCCCAGTTCTTGGCCACCTGCCACAGAAAAGTAACGCAATGACCCACATGTGGGTTCTCTTCACTACTTCACTCATCAGCAGTTGTAGCATTTTGAGAATTTATAATAATTTTGGGTGTCGCCAGCAGGTGTCTAAGGTTTCCACCAGTTATGAAACAAACCTGAAAGGAACCCAGTGACTATGAAACAATTAGAAATTTTAAATTTTTTTAACTTAATTTATTTATTTTGAGAGAGAGAGGGAGAGAGAGAATCCCAAGCAGGCTCTGCACTGTCAGCATGAAACCTGTTGTGGGGTTCAAACTCACGAAACCGTGAGATCATGACCCAAGCTGAAACCAGGAGTCATATGCTTAACCAAATGGGCCACCCAGGTACCCCAACAATTAGAAATTTTAAAATAAATATTTATTTCATTTTTGCACTGTGGCCGTTTGGGGTGTGTCTTCTTAAAAATATTTTCCTAAAGCATTTCAGGTACCCATTGTTCAATGGGAGGCACTTTTAAAACAGTCCAGAAGAGTGATGTCCAGGGCCCAGGACAGAAGGAAAATGCAGATGTCTGGCCAGGCAGCCAGGGGCTGCTTGGAGAGTGGTGACTCCTTCATGCCCACGTTTGGGGTGTTGGGAGACTTGCTGTGCTCTTAGCTCTGGTGGTGGCTGTTAGACGGCTTTCCCCACATTCTGCTAGATCCATCATTTCATCAATTTCTGCCTTTTATTAGCTGAGGCCCCTGCTGGGGAAGAGGCCAGTGCTAGTTGTCACCCCGTGGATATATTTCTTCAGAGAGAGGGGGACGGCACCTTGAGGGAGCTGATCCAGATTGCCAGCGTGATTGTCTCTGGGAAGCCCTGAGAGAGAAGCAAATGATAAAATGTGCCCCCAGCAAAAGGCCCAGAGCTTAAAAAGTAATCATCTGTCCTTTCTGTTCTTGCAGTGAGGGATTCCAGCATCTTCCTTTCCCTGGTTAAATTTCCTCAGCCTCCTTTTGTTTGGAAACATGTTTACATTTCCAAGGAGGACCATCTGGCCGCCATTCGGAAACATAAAGACGGGTCAAAGGAAGCAGTGTGGTTCCACACACTTTCACAAATAAAATCGAGCCAGACTGGCCGGTGACTCACACGGTATGCCCCTTTGCTCTCAGGCAGCTCTCCTGTGAGGCCTGTGACCTAGAGCCAGCTGGCAGGAGGTTCTAGCTGGGGTCTGGCTGAGTGTGGTGCTGAGAAGCAGGAATTAGGGTCACTGCCCCGTGGGCAAGACAGAGCACACGCTTGGAAGATAACGCATGCTTGACTTGTGTTCACTAATACTAGACTTCTGTGCCTCTTATGCAACTTTACTCAGTCAGCAAACGGCTAACAAACATGGATCCCCTGCTTATGTCAGGCCCTGTGCTCAGTGATGATAAAGGTGAGATGAGCCACAGGCACGTCCTACCCTCAGTTTTGCACAGTGGGCTTGGGGAGACCCAGAGGTCCAGGAGCAGTCACAGTGCCAAGTAGCAAATACTGTGGTGGGGGAAGGTCAAGGGGTTTGGGTAGCATGGACCTTCTCAATGGGCATGAGAGTATGGGGATGGCAGGGCACAGAGCTGGGCAGGTGGGGTGGGGTTGGTCATGGAGGGTCTGTGCATTGAGCTCAGATACCCATACTTTTTCCAGTAAAATCATCAGGTTCTTCATCAGCTACTTCCAGAGGCCTCTTCTGGTATTTCCTGCCTTTCTCCACTTCATTCTGGAAAATGGAATACTCTACCAGGAAGAGAGCATTGCCAGATAAAATACAGAACCCCCAGTTAACTTTGAATTTCAGATAAACAGCCAATAATTTTTCAGTAGAAGTCTATCCATACTATTGTATTATTCACTGCTTATCTGAAATTCCTATTTAACTAGGTGTCGCATGTTTTATTTGCTAAACCCGACCATGCTTAAAAAAATCAGTATAGAAAAGAATGTATTTATCTGACTAAATCTTAGCCTTTGAGGTCATAGACCCAACCAGGGGCTGAACATTAATTAAATCAAAGATGTAACCAAAACTATGTCATTAAGGCAAAAATGCAAGAATTATAAACCTCTGTGCTAACTTAAGATTGTTAAATTATGATTTATATTCTATAAAATGGGTTTGAGTATGTTGCATGCATTGATTATATGAGAGGCTAATCTTCCTACAAATGTACGTACAGAATATTAAAATACAGCTACTGTGTCATAAACTTGAGTGATTTAAAACTTATGTTCTAGAGGTAATCAAAGTTGTAATTTAGTAATAGTTTTGATCATCTTAGGATACAGAAGCATTCAGTGGAGATGATTTATTTAATTGTCCTCTCTTTAAAAACAGTTTTGCAGTGGGTTTTGCACTGGCCCTCTTTTCCTGTGTAAACTCCCCTGTGGTAAGCAGAAGATGAAAGCATTTTGGTTCCAAGGGCGGCAGCACAGTGTGTGTGTGTGTGTGTGTGTGTGTGTGTGTGTGTGTGTGTGTGTGTATGTGTGTGTTTCTAAGCAGGGAATTTAGGGCCTAGGGGAGAAGCATCCTGAAAATCTGGCACTATTTTCTTTCTTTTCCCTGCTTCCCACAATATGAAGGGTGGTGTGGTAGGGCCTGGTAACTCAAGGAGAAGGGGAGAAGGCCCGGTCCCTTTCTCTAGTGACTGCTGGGATGTCATTCCGGGGTGTGTGTTCGAGTGGACAGAGGCTGTAGGTTTCTCAGCAGGCGAGTCACAGCCCACCCACCTCTGGGACTCCTCCCTGAACAGCTACAGGCTGGCCACCTGGGCCTGCATGGCTGAGGAGGTAGGCAGGGCCAGACGGCCCCTCTGATACCCAAGGTGGCCTGTACTTTAGGAAGTTGAGAGAACAATTCTCAGCCTTGACTACAATTTGTCCCTGACTCAGGCTGATGTGAGGGATCCCCCTGCTACCACCCAGGCTTTCAGAAATGTCCTCACTCATGTTTGGGGGTGTCCCTGGCTCCAAGAAATGTATGTTCTGGTCATCTTATTTTAATCATATAGTTCAGGAAATTAATTTTATCATGATGTAGTCTTAGTCAATGACTTGCCTGAAAAACAAACAACCCTTTTGGGACACCTGGGTGGCTCAGTTGGCTCAGTTGGTTAAGCGCTTGACTCTTGGGTTTCAGCTCAGGTCATGATCTCGTGGTTCGTGAGTTCGAGCCCCACACAGCAAAGAGCCTGATTGGGATTCTCTCTCCCTCTCTCTCTGCCCCTCCCCCACTCGCTCTTTCAAAATGAATAAACTTAAAAAATTAAAAGACAAAGCAAAACAAACAAAAAAAAAGAACCTGTCTCCTGCAGAGCAAAACCAAACCAGAAATGAAAAACTTAGATTCAGCAAGTGACAACAGTTCTGGGGTTCTGGCGTCTGGTTTGGTCATGACTCAGGGACAGTCATGCTGGGTCACACGAAGTATGGAGAAGAGGCCAGTGCCCATGGGAATCTCCTATTCCCCTGTCTCTAGGACCCCGATGTGGAGAAACTGAAAGGGGAAGGTTTGTGTCCTTTACTGTTCCTGGGGAGAGGGAAATGTACCCCGGACCTCCAGGCTGCCAGCTGTAGTATTTTACAAACAAAGGACTATACTTTCTAACAGCCCCTTGGGACTTCTGGTAAGTGTAACAAGGATAGATATTCAGATTCCTGAAAAGTGCTGTGAGTCATACCCACTTTGGGTTTTTCTGGTTAAAGGTCTGATTTTTCCCTTCCAAACCCAGCATTTAAATGACTTGCCTAAATATGGGCTCCATTTACATATGCCCTGCAGTGAGGTCAGCTGAGGCTGGCAGGGCAAGCCCTTCCACTGTGTGGTTGGGGGTAGGCAGGTCCTGGGGAGCCTCCCCTGGCTGTGGCCACCACGCTGGCAGGGGCTGAGTGGTCCCCAGCCAAGCTGTGGCCTTCTCCAGGGTGTTTACAGGGCTGGCCCAGACTGTCCCATTCAGAGGAGACTTTGATATGTGGCTTACACCTACCTTCCCCACTCATTCCACTGTCCCCAGCCTGCCTGACTTCTTTTGGATGGACATTGTCCACTTCGGCACATGTGTAAATCATTCAATGGGTCACTGAAACTCAAAATGAGGTTTAGAGGAGGGCTTTCAGGGTAGGACTAAGGAAATAATCCCAGACACCTTTTATGGAGGATGGCGCAGGGCATCCTTGTCATGGGATGCCTGTTGTTCTGTATTTAACTTAGGGGCACAGTTCCTGGTCTGATTTTTTGGCTTTAAGGCATTTCTGTCTCAATTCTAGGACTGGTCGCCATAAAGGATGCGCATGATATAGAGACCAGGCTCAATGAAGTGGAGAAGTTGCTGAAAACCATCATAAGCATGCCGTGCAAAGTAAGTAGCATCTGGGCTGTGCTGGAGGTGGGAGGTCAGGACACATCCGGCCAGCTGCCCCCTCCCTGGGGGGGTAGGAATAGCCAGGGGAAAGGAAGATTTTTGTGGGGTGTTATGGCTCCATTGTTTTCTCCTTGGGGAAGAAGCGGGAATGAAGGGCCAAGGAGGCATTGAGTAGGAAGAGACAAGGTCCTTCCATTGCCGTGGTCTTTGCTCTCTTGCCTCCACTCAGAAGCCCACTCGTCTTGCAGCGGGTGTTTTGGAAGAGGGTGTATGGGAGCCAAGAAGAGTGTTAGTAGATGAAGTTTGCAAGCTTCATGTGTGGTCATGAGGAAGAACCTGGACTCTAGTCAGGCAGTCACCATTTGACTACCATAGCATCCGTTTCCTCACCTGTGAACAGGGAAAGTCGACACACTGCAGTTTATTGTACAGTGAAGGGACCTGTGTATGGAACACTGGCACATACCAAGCGCTCAGAAAAACTCACCAGCGTTTCCATTAACCCCATCTTATCTGTCCCTGGGGCCTTGCATTTTTGCCACATGGGGCCCAAAGTAAATGAAGAGTGTGCCATTATTGAAGCCTCATCAGTGTGGTCAGTCCCGCAGAGCGTCTGAACAGTCCGGGGACGTTAACATCAGGTGAGGCTGCCATGACGGAGGATGAAGTTTTAGTAATTAATGTACTTACTCTCAGTATTCTAGGTCAGAAGTTGTGCTCACCTTCTTTGAAAGATCTCCTTTGGATCAGGTGTTAAAAAATGACAATGTCCATAAAATTCAACCCAGCTTTCAAAGCCCAGTGAAAATATCAGGTAAGAGCTACAGGGAAGGCATGGCGGGGGGTAGGTGCTGCTGTTGATGGGTGTGGTTTCCCAGAAGCCCTTCCAGTTCAGTGTCTGTGTGGTGGGCACCCCCTTCTATGGGATCCAGAAAGACAGTGCAGCAGAAGGGGGAAGATAGTGGGTGTAGCTGTGGCCTGATTTTCATGACACACTGTGTTTTCTACCTACTGACCTGCATTTACACTTTTCCTGTTTCCAAAGTGAGTGACATGGCATGTAAATTGGAACTTACCTAAGAAATAGCATAACGAGAGGCCCGAGAGGGCGGCTCAGCTGGTTAAGTGTCTGACTCCTGGTTTCAGATCAGGTTATGATCTCACGGTTCATGGGTTTGAGCCCCGAGTCAGCCTCCACACTGAGAGTGCAGAGCCTGCTTGGGATTCTCTCTCTCCCTGTCTCTGCCCCTCCCCTACTTACTCACTCTCTCTTTCTATCAAAATAAAGAAACTTTAAAAAAAAGATATGATGAAAACATTAATAAGGCTTTTTGAAGCGAACTACTGTAATCAGGAGCCTAGTGTGCTAAAATAAGATAGTTTCTGTAAGGTGGCAATGAATTTGGTTGTAGGGCACCCAGGACAAACAGGGAAGCCAGTTTGGGTATCACCAGTCTTGATGCCGGGCCATGCCTTCTAGCCCCAAACAGGCAGATGTCCCAGCAGCAGGAAGAGCGAATGGTCAGCTGGGAGGAGCTGCTGGCTGGCTCAGCTGTGGGGTGGATGGAAAGGGAGGGCAGGCCTGGACTTCACCCTGTTGGGTAGCTTTCTGAATCTAGGTCACACCTGTTGCTAGGACAGTAGACTTTTATTTCTGCAGTACGATTGTGGTGAAGGCTGCTGAGGGGCATTTTGTGGGGAAAAGAGCTCTGTCCTGGGAGCCTCAGCTACGGGGCTCCCTCAGGCAGTGGATCTATTTCTGAATGGAGGAGGGAGGAGAGAAGAAGGAGCAGTGGAGGAGGAAGGCTCAGGAAGTTGATGAAGAAGAGTCCACAGATGAGAGCACATCTGAGCCCAGAGCTGGCTTGTAAGAAGGCATGGGGGGTTCATGGTGATGGGGAGACATAGGACAAATCAGGATGGTGGCAGCCGATATCTTTGGTAGAAAAGTGTCCTTACTGAGCTATGCGTCACACAGCAGGGTTGAGATTCCTAGTTGTGTGCGGTGGCGGTGTGGACAGAATGGACAAGTCCTGGGGCCCTGGAGTGGAAAACACGTTTGGATATGGCTACATGTAAGCAGGATGGCTGTTAGGCCTGGGTTTGTTGGGGTCTGGTGCTTTTGATGTCTTCCTGTGTGTTCTTAAAAGAGCAGGGTTGTTTGGGCATCTCTCCTTAGCTGGCACCTGGCACCCAGAAACTCCTTTATAAGAGAAATGGCAGTCACTTATCTTGGTTGGGTGTCTACAGACCCCAGTCCTGCAGGGCACAACCAGGACTCCAGGAACCTAACTGTCAGTCATGTTGGGCTTTACTTGCTGTCACCAGGACTGTGGGCAAGTGTCTGTTCTTTAGCCCTGAGCAGAAAAGTCCCAGAACTGGTGTCTCTGTTTTGCCTTATTTCTTTCTGCTTTGAGCAAATAGGACAACAGAGAGCCACAGAACCCTTTCAGACCTTGTGTTGGTGGCTGAGCTGCATGGAGTTGCTTCTGATTCATTCCTGGAGTGCAGCAAACTGGAACACTCCCTTTGTCTCTGTGTCCTGTTTGTACCTGTGGCTTGGATAAACACAGGACCCATGTTTACCCTAAAGGGCTGAGAGTAATGAGGTGAAAATTAACAGGGGTAACTGTAGTGTCCCAGGTGAGATTTGAACTACATTCTCTGGGTCTATTTGCGAGGACTCAGGACAGGTTTCAGCCTGCAGGGACACGGCAGTAGGTGGAAGAAACTGGAACAATTTTGGCTCCACACAGAACGCTTTGTAACAACTGTGCCTGCCTAACAATGAAGTCTGTAAACATCTATTGTAAGTCTGTGCTGAAAGACTTACACTCCGTGCAAAGGCCAGGGGGCCTATCAGAGGCATCCCTCTCAGGGTTAGCAGGCTGTGAGAAGCCTCTCCACCCCTCCAGGGCTAAGATTCTCTGACTCCTGGGGATTTTATCCTGTTCATCAGCTCTGATCTATTGGGCACCAAGTCTGGGGCTTTTCCCTTGGAAGCTTCCCAGGCTTCCCATCTTTGCTCCAGGAGTAGCCAGCCCTCACTCTGTCTGAGTGAGTGCTTCTCACCATAAATTAGTGTGTACATGTGCAGGCAGTGAGGGGGCATTCCCCAGGAAGTAAGATGTACTTTCATTATTCACAGAGGGAGGAAACCAATCCAGTAAGACAATGAACTATAGTAAATTCAAAAATACTTTTCAGTGAAACTTCTACTTACAGTAACACAAACAGCCCTTTTGGGAACTAGCCTGCACAGGGGCAAGCCATATTATGCTGGCTGGTTCCCCTGTGTGGGTGTTTATGGATTCGGGGAGCCTCAGGCTCTGGAGAGCATGGCCAGCCTGGGAACATGCCCCAGGACACACCCTGAATACTGAGGTCGGTCATAACTCTGACTTCCTGGGCTCACCCATTTTCTCAAGACCTTACACTCATGGTAAAGGCCAAGTGCCCTAGTCATTCCAGGCATGCCAGAGTCTGATCCTGTCACCATAGAACCCTTTGCTCCAGACCCTCAGCCTCCCCTCAGTGGGGCTTTGCAGGACTGTGGGCCCCTGTCTTCCCTCTGTTCACACAAACTCTGCCTGTCTGTCACATCCTGCTAAATTCCATTCGGTGGTAAAAACCCACTAAATTGCACTCAATCGTGAAAATGTCCTTGCCTCCTGCGACTCACTGCACCCTTCCTCCTCCTCTCCTGTCTCATTTCTTAATGTCTTTTTATGCTGTGGATGTGGCATTTATGGAGGTGGCACCGTGGGGGACAGGCACTTGACCTAGGCTGTCAGAGGCTTGCTTCCCTTTATGGGTAGGCAGGCAGGCACACAGCCTCTTCTTTCTCCTATTGAGACCGCCTTGTGGTCGGGGCTCCACTAGATGGTGCCAGGTGCTAGCAGTGTGGGAACCACGCCACATCCTGGGGCCCAGGCAAGGCAGTCAGGAAACTCTGTGGCCCCTTCAGCAATGCTTTGGGCCAGTACAGCCTTAAACATTCTTCATCCTATGTTAATCTAAATGTTTATGGAATAAAAAAACCCTAAATGTTCTTTTCTACACTGTGGCTGTGTCTGTGCTTTTAAGCATAAACCCCAGCTGAGATCTGGCTACTTGGACTAATCAACATAAGCCATAAAAATCTAATTATTCAGGTTTGGGGGGCCTGGAAATGACCTATAATTTCATATTTCATTAACCAAACATCTGTACAATCTCAACTCTAACTTTTACCTTAAAAGGTTAATCCGATTAGCCAATTAATAAAAAGGTGGTGCTTTGGATTTTGTTCTATTGCTGGACTACACTGAAAATATAACGGGAGAGAGGATTTAGATGGAGGGTGGCTACGCTATGAATGCTTTCAGGACTGAGCTAATGTCTGCTGAAAAAAGGAATGTATGAATTACTGAACTGAAGGAATGATGGCCTAGGGGACATATGAAAACATGGCTACAGATAAAAATATAGAGAAGTTGCCACTGGGCAAACACCACAGTAGTACAGTTGACCCTTGACCAACATGGGGGTTGGGGCACCCACTCCCCACAGTTGAAAATCCGTGTATAACTTTGACTCCCCCAAAACTTAACGACTGGTAGCCCATTGTTGACCAGAAGCCTTACCAATAACATAAACAGTTGATAGCATATATTTTGTATGTTATATGTATTACACACTATATTCTTATAAAAGTAAACTAGAGGAAAGAAAACATTAATAAGGAAATCATAAGGAAAATACATGTACAGTACTGTACTATATTTATCCAAAACCAAATCCACATATTAGTGGACCCATGTAGTTCAAATTTGTATCATTCAAGGGTCAAGTATAATTGTTGCAGTAAAGACCCTATCTTTCCTGTTAAGATAGTAGGGCAAAGTTTAAGGTTTTACACACTCTCAATGCATCTCCCCTGGGATATTTATTAACTACAAAGAGAAAGAGTAAATGTGGCAGAAACTTCTTATGCAAGTGATCCTGATGAACATCCTGGAAAAAAGGCCTGTTGACATCAGACACCCCCTGGCAGGATGCATGGAGGGGACACAGGGTCACCCTGCAGGATTCCTGCCTGGAACGCACCACCTGGGTCACATCACAAAAGCATCAGGCAAATCCAGGGACCTTCGATAAAATACCTCACCAGTCCTGCCCAAAGTGTTACTTTCATGAGAGATGAGAGGAGAGATCGAGGGACCATCAGAGGTCATACAAAACTGGGACACAGCAACTCAAGGCAATAAGGGATCCTGGATTGGGTCTGGAACAGAAAAAAAAGAGGGACATTAGTGAAAAAGCCTGTGACACTCAAGTAAGGGAAGTATTTAGTTATATCCAGCTTTCTTCACAGCACCATAGTTATGTAGAATATTAACATCAGGAGAAGCTGGGGGGAACTCCATGAGAACTCTGTACTATTCTTGTAACTTTTCTGTAATTCTAAAATTAGCTCAAAATAAAAAGTTAAGAAATGGCAAAGCAGAACTCTTCATGTGAAAAAAAATATGAATGCAGAAAAGTAGCTTGAAAGTGAACGGCTTCGTGGAATTAGTCAATTATGTGATTAAGGCAATTACATTGGCCAGTGATTTTTGCTATAGGTACTAAGCTGACTTCTAAGAAATTCACATTTTAAGTATGTTTGAAGATCGCCTTCAGAGGTTAGCACTTTTCTGTAATAATAACATTTTCTTTGGTTCTTTTTATTTGCTTGACATTAGCAATAATGATACCATCATTACCATTTTTCAAGCCCTCCACATTTGTTAGATTCTTTACAAATACCATCTCATGTCATCTCCACCTAGGTCTTTTAGGATGGGCACCATTATTCCCATTTTGCAGATGAAGAAACCGAGCAAGAAGTAACCTGCTCCTCATGCACAAGTAGCAGAACTAGTTTCCAGCTTGCCTTGTAAAAAATTAAACCACATGACTGTGTACAGAGGTTTCTTTGCATAAGCAGTTAAGGGATGATTTGTTACAAATCTGTTTTGGGGGGCTGGCAAAGATTCCATGTTTTAGAGTTCCAAATTTCATATTTAAGAAAAATTAGGAAGTTCAAAAGTTCCCAAGCAAGGTAACTCTTCAGAAACATGTTCAGAAATGTTTTGCTGCACGTACATTCGTTTTCACTTGTAGGGTTTTCCCCTCCAAATTCCCTTAGCAAAGGGGTGGGAGAGGGGCTGGAAGCTATTAGCTGGCTGAGGTTTTATGTGCTTCTGAGACAGATTTGAGTCAGTTAGGAAAACACAATAAAGAAAGTGGTTCTGTGCTGCCATGGATTTTTATTTGAGCGGCGAGGGAATCTTAATCTTTCCTGTTAAAAGTTAGTCATCTTCAGAGTCTGTTCACTGAGACTTTGGTAAACATCTTCTCTCACATAGAAATGCTGTTGTTCCCAGAGGCTCCAAGCACTGACTTCTCCTTGGGTTTTGATGCTCCTTCTCGTGACTTTAGGCTCTCCATGCTTGTTCTTGCACAGGGAAGGCAGGTGGGCTTCAATCCAGAGGGGTGGGGTGGGCAGGAAGAGCAATGTGCTGATGTCACCCAGAGTGTGATTAACTGGGCTGGTGTTTCAAAAGACCAAAGGCACTGGACCTGTCACTTCTGCAGAAAGTCAGGAGGAAATTTTAGCAATTACTTGGCTAAATTGGCAAATCTGGTTGAGGAAGAGTCATTTTAGTCCTGTGGGGTAAGGAGGAAATCTTCTGTTTTTCTTTGTTCATTTTTGTGTGGTTTCCCTAAATCTCTTTGTATGGAGAAAACTTTGAAGAACTGTGAACCAAATACCTAGAAAGATTAAAAATAAACAGGAAGTTGTAATTATACTTATGAAAAAAGCAAATCCACACATGGGAATAAAAGAACCTAAATTATAACAAGATATAAGAAAAAAATATAAGGAAACAATCCCCCAAACAATTGCATCAGATGCCCACTGAGACTGTGGATAGTGAGGAATGTTCTTGTTGGCTGGGCTGGGCCAGTAGGAGAGGAAAGCTATTTAGAGCTGTGTGTGTTTCTATGTGTTAGACCTTGAATGGGGAGAGGATAATCCTTTGAATTTGAGAATGCCCCAGAAATTTGGAGTCTATTTTAAGCCTTTTTTTTTTAAGTTTATTTTTATTTATTTTGAGAGAGAGAGATAGAGGACAAGCAGGGATGGGGCAGAAAGAGAGGGAGACAGAATCCCAAGCAGGCTCCACACTGTCAGCACAGAGCCCACCATGGGCTCGAACTCACGAACCATGAGATCATGACCTGAGCTTTGCTGTCAAGAGTTGGACGCTTAACCAAGTGAGCCACCCAGGCACCCCTTAAGCATGTTTTTTAAGATGAGGTAAATAGAGGGCCTGATTTGAGAAGACAGACAAGGGCCATAAACATGGAGCTTAGCTAAGAGCTGAGGTTAGGGGCTAAGCCAGCCCCACAGAGAGATGGAGAACTACAACAACAAGGAGAACTGGTAATGGCTACCAGCTATATTCTTGGAGTGTGTTTAATCTACTGAAGTGACAAGAAACACATTCCTGGGGAAAGGTAAATAAAAGCTACACCAGATATTACAAGTGAATCAAGCCACATTGGCTCCTCATACTTAAATGGACCAGATGATGTGATGGAATCTGGAAGTTCATGGGAGTTCAGAGCAGAAAGGATCCTTGGAGATCACCCAGCAGTATTCTGAAACTTTCCAGTTGAGGATACTGAGTCCCAAGACCATGGAACTCATTGTTGGGCTGAGGTGCGGTGTCCAGGCCCCAAGCCAGTGCTGTTTCAGCTACCACACATTCACGCATCCCTTTTCTTTCCTCTCCCAGTGCTGGGTAAGCACCAGCCTTCCATCCTTGGAAGCTGTCCCCATACAGCCAACATAGGCATATGAAGATGTATTCTTTGTTGGCCTTTTTAAATTACCAAGATTTGTGCTTACAGATAAAAAAAAATCAGTTTTTTTATAGAATTATATAAAGTAAAAAACTGAATTTGCCCATTGGTTTAAAGTGCATACTGATCTCAGGGCACCTGGGTGGCTCAGTCAGTTAAGCGTCCAACTCTTGATTTTGGTTCAGGTCATGATCTCATGGTTAGTGAGTTTGGGCCCCACATTGGGCTCTGTGCTGACAGTGTGGAGCCTACTTGGGATTCTCTCTCTCTGCCCTCTCTCTGCCCTTACCCTGCGCGCACGCTCTCTCTCTCTCTCTCTCTCTCTCTCTCTCTCTCTCAAAATAAATAAATAAACTTAAAAATATATATGTAGATAAATAAAATGCATACTTATCTCATTTGACCCTCCCAGCAACCCAGGGTGGTAGACAGTGTTATCCCCATCTCAGGCACAGGGGAGACTGGATACCCTGTGCAGAGCCTCATGGCAGTGTGTGCCAGACCAATAGATGTGAGCTCAGTAGTCTTTCTACCCCAGCTGTAAACCAATGGGGAAGGCATTTGGGGAGGGTGCTGTGCAACCACAGTATCTTTCTCGGGGGAGTGATGTGGCTTTTGGCTTGCATGGGGTCCACAGGTGTGGTTTCTGTGGAGGTTGGCATCAGCTCCTGAATCTGTGTGGTAGAGCTCCAGAATGGGCCTCTAGGGTGCAGAACGTTCTCTCAGAGCATGGGGGAGAATCTGGGGCAGTAGATGGAGGGGGAAATAGGGAGATTGGTATAAGCTCAAAACTTCAAATTCTGGCCTCTCCTGAATATTTACTTTGTTGCTTTCATTTTTCAGAAATCATGAGATCCAATGGATTTTGCTTAGCAAATACAGAAACAATTGTTATTGACCACAGTATACCAAACGGAAAAGACCAACACCTGGGTGTGGATCCCACAGAGCATTTGTAAGTACATTGATTTGAATATAGTTTTCTAGAAGGGCTGCCTGAATGGTCAGCTGGTGCCAGGGACTGGATTTCTCTCCCCAGACAGAGCTCTAGAGGAAGTAGATGTGGCCAGAAACATTGAGCCATCCTATCTGTATTTGGATACTTATCCTAAGTGTTTGCCTCTTCTAGAGGATGGTGAGAGCTTGATTCATAAACTTTGTGGGACCAAGTGGCTGGTTGTGAGGGGGCATTGAGGAGAAGTTGCCAGGCTCATATCTGTGCTGGGCCCTGAGGGGCTATAGAGGCCATAAGCCTCTTCATTCAAAGGGTCTGGTCTCCTGGGATGGGAAGGAGTGTCACCTGCATGGTCTTACATCGCAGAGCTGGAGGTTCTCCTGACTCTGAGGTGGCCTCTGTGTGGCTCACAGGCTAAGGCCTGGCCCTGCTGGGCCTGCTGATTAGTGCAGTCTGATTAGTGAAGGTGGGACCACCAAAGACACCACTGTCTTCCCTGTTCTTCTTTCCCCTAATAATGGGGAACTTTGACCATGATAAGTGCTCTAGGAAAGCCCAACCCTGGGGTCCCTAAGGGGCACCTTCATCGTTGGTTCACTTCCAGGTCATGTCCTTGGGAGTCCTTGGGAGTCAGCTTGAGGGGACATCACAACTTGGCTTCTGTTGACTGTCAAGGCCGATCCCAGGGCTCTTCCTGGTTGTGTGAGCTTCAGAAAGCTATTTAACCTCTTCTGGCTTCTTTTCTTCAAAGTGGGGCCCACTCTGCTCTCACAGGGTCACTGAAAGATCTCAGATGGTGACTGTGAGACATTTGGCTCAGGAGCCCCTGAAGGCAGCTCTGGGTGCTCAGGGTCTCCCTGTGGGTACATGGGCAGCTCATCCCGGGATCAAGGGCCTTGGGGTCCTACATCCTGCCCCACCCAACTGAGCTGCAAATAAAAATGAACTAGGAAAACTCATGTGCTGAGACACACCCAGACCAGCTGAATGCAGAACAGAGCATTACCCCAGGATGTACAGGTGACTGGAGCCGCCTCTACTGGACTCTTCCTGTGTGGCAGAGCACAGCAGGAGCCCTGTCCAGCCCATGGAACTGGCTCTGGCCAGCAGCACCCACTTTCCCAGGTGTCTCTTAGGTGGATGGCACAGGGATCCCTCACAATGGTGATGTCAAGAGCTACTTGTTTAAAAGGATATGCTGGTGAGGCTGCAAGGGGTGGCCCTTCTCTGAAGTGCCATTGTCTCTTCTGCATGCCTTGCCATGACACCACATGGCATCGCACCCACTATATGTGTATATAGGTAGCTCATTAGTTCTTGACCTAAGGGTCCTCTGTGCTGGCATGGGGCTGGCATCATGGGGGAACAAGATGGCTGTGTATTAAGTGGGTGACAGGAAGGAGAGGCCCTTTACCTTCACAGGAGGAGCTTCTGGAGAGAGCTTGTCTTGGTGGAGGAGAAACAGGTGGAGACCCTCCCTCATCACCCTGCAGGGCCCTGGCTCTGGCCCCACAGTATTCCCAGGGGGGACCATTTCCATCGTCAGGAGGCCTCAGGATGCCATCTCTGCACCTGGCCAGATTTGACAAGCAAGTTGAACCTGTGGATGGTTTTGCCAAGGAGAGGCACGCAGAGAGAAAGCAAGGGTCGTCACGTGACCCCCCCCCCCTCCGTGGCTTTGCATGGACAAGCATGACACACCCCCAGTATGTGGCCCCCTGGCTCCAGGATGCCCAGCTGGCAGGAAGCCAGCAAGAAAAACCTCTGTGATCCCAGAAAAGCTTAACAAAGAAACGTCTGCCTCCAAATGGCTCAGAGGAGCATTTAGAGGAAATTCCTGACTCGGGCTTGCCAGGATTTTCTCTAGGTGCCTAATGTAGAGCAGCACAGCTGAGCTAATGGTCTGCTGCTGGAGTCACTCAAGAGCAGCCTGTTTTAACACTGCACAGGGCTGCAGCAGGGGAGGGGGGTGATGATGGGACAGGAGGTCGCAGAGATGACGTTTGAGTAACAGGGCTGTGCTTCCCTGCCACAGCCGTCCTCAGTGGTACCCGGGAGTTACCATTTGGCCCTGACACTGGGAATTTGGTGCTGTTGAGCCTGCCAGTAGGACCAGTGCTGTAAAGCCAAGCAGATAGGACAGAGACCCCACTGCACTCAGGGAATGGGGGACGGGGTATGCCTAGCACAGATATGAGTCAGTGTGACAGTGGGGCCTCTGCCTGGTGACCATCCTAGCTGGCTGGAGTGGTGCCCAGGCTCCCAGGAAACTCACTCAGGGATGAAGCAGCCCCCACCCTGTCCTCACAGGATAGGAGCAGAGGTATCTGCTCCTGGTCACTCACCTTCCCCAGCCTCCCAGCCTCCCCTCCCTGCCTGGGTTTTCAGGGTCACCTGATCTGAGGGCAGGCGGTGTAGGAAGGGTGAGAAGTTGTCCCCACAGGGCTGTATCTTGGTCCTGTCCCTCCCCTGGCTTGAGCCTTCCCCTACACTCAAGTCCTCTTTTAATTCATTCCAATGCTTGTTTTCCAGAAGAGACTTCACATCCTGTAATAAAGTTGGAGAGTTGGTCTTCCCTCCACCAGACATGCTGCCTGGCTGGCTGCGCACACTTGTGTCCATGCTACATCTCTTTCTCCGCAGCCTGGAGCTACCACCTGGGCGGGCAGTGTGGGGAGGAGTAGCTGAGCCCCCAGCCCTTCCCCTGCGGGTGTGGGGAGGCCCCACGCATCCACACACACACCCCTCACTCTGGAATTAAAGGAAGACATGCTTCTGTGGCCTTTTCTGTCTAATTTCAAACCTCCTCCAACACTTCTAAATTTCAGCTTCCACTGAGAGGAAGCCTGCTTCCCTGGGAGCCCCACCTCTGCATCTGCAGGATTCTGCCCAGTATGCTCTGCAGGCACGGGCTGGGCTCCTTCTCTGCACCCCATGCAGCCCCCTGGCCCCCTGGCTGGTGCAGCCAAGCAGACTCCCCTTGCCGTCTCCTTTGCTCCGTTCGTACCCTTCCTGGTTAGGCCAAACCTTTCCAGGTACAGCGGAGCTCTTACAGCTGTACTGCTTAGTGCCGGGAATCAGCGTAGGGACACAGTGTGCACTGTGGCCCCTGCTTTCCTGGGAGAGCCGAGGGGAAGCCTGCATCAGCCCACCTCTGCCCTGCCCCGCTTTTTGGGACTGATCCTTAGCCTAGGAAAGTGGAAACAGCCCAAGCAACTTCTCTGTTTCCCTTCCTGGGGAGAGTGTCCTTCAGGTGCTTCTTTCTCTTTTAGGCATTTTTTTTTTTTTAATTTGGAGTCTTTTTTTCTAGCTTAGGAGGCCTTGTCTGGGTTAGACAGGGACTGGAAATGGTTTCAATTCATGGGGGAATGTCAGGAAGGTGTTAGTCACCTTACATTTGGCGTACATATTCACCTGCCTCCCCTCCCCCCAGGTACACCCCCCAGTCAGATGAAGACCCCCTCTAGGAGGAGCCCTCCCTCCATGAACCTCCCCTGCCCCCTGCCCTGCCCACACCTCTCTGGACCGCTGCTCTCAGTCCCTGTAGTCCCCTGTGCACGTGTCCCAGGGATGTGGTTAGGTTGTGAGCTTGTGACCACAGTGGCTTCTCTCACTCATCTTTGCTGTTGTCTGCGTTCCCACAGACCCACTCCCTGCCTGGCTATGTGCTGTGTCCCCAGACACAGAATGGATCCCTAGATAGAGAAAAATAATCACTCTGTGAATGAATGAATGCCTCAGTAAATATTGGCTAATGAATACAGATAGCAGTCTCTAAGGCAGTAAAAAGCAGAGCTATCACAGTCTTTAGAGAAGGGTCCATTTCACCTAATTAATTTGTAATCATGGTTCTTCCCCATACTTCATGCATTGAAAGGACTGTGCCTGTTGGTCTGATGCACCTGTGTATCCTGAAGAGCATTGTGGACAGGCCCTCTCACAGTGTTTGGCATTGACCCTGAAGCGCCCTCTTGCCAATGACCTTCTGCCCTTTATTTCTCCTCTTCAGTGGTGGTGGGGAGTCAGTGAGCCAGCCCCAGCCCTCACCTCTGGACTTTTCCATTTCAGGTTTGAGAATGGCAGTGAGTTTACCTCAGAGCTGGAGGATGGCGATGACCCAGCGGCTTATGTCACCAACCTATCCTATTACCACCTGGTCCCCTTTGAGACGGACATTTTGGACTGAGTCTCTATTGGGCCCCCACTGCTCTCCAACCCTTGACTGCTGGTTCGGCACTGGCTACAGTGGGCAGAGCTGCTGCCCCAGGCCTGGGCCAGGTGGTGCCTCTGTGGGGATAGTGCCCAGGAGGCCCAGGTGTCCTGCCAGTGTAGCAGCAGGGTTTTCTGGAGTGAGGGCTGACTCACAGGTCAGCCAGGTCACCAGAGTCCCGCACAGCCTGCTGCTTCTGAGGGCTCTTCTCTCTGCACCCGACACCACCAGCCTGTCTCTGCACCCCTGGGACTCGCTCCTCACCCTTGTGTGGGAGACCCACAAGTGCCTGCAGGACATGTGGGTGCCAGGGTAGACACCCAGGGCCCGGCCAGGTTCCTCCTTTCTCCGTGACTGTTTCCTGGAGAGGAGCCTTCCTCTGGGTGCTGGCGGCCCAAGGCCACCCGGCCACCCTCACTCCCCACCATTCCTTCATACAACAAGCGCACAAAACATTGCCTGTTAGATTGTGTTGGGTTGCCAAGTTCTGGACGACATACACGGGGAATGTTAGGTAATCCAGGATTTCCCTGGGAACCAGGATGTGTGGCTTTCGTTTCTGTTTTTCATCTTCTATCTGGAAACTGTGGGTTTTGTGTCAGCCAAAGGGGCTCTTCACAGAAGAGTCATTGTGAATGGCGCATATTGGCTGTGGAGACAGGGGAAGCCGTTGCTGAGCAGGTGCCCCTGAGCGGATACTGAGAAGTGCTGATTCTCCTCAAGAGGAAGAGAGTTCCTGCCTGGCCTGCCAGCCCCTCTTCAGCCCTGCAGTGTGGGGTAACAGTGCCGTAACCCCTGGACCGCGGACTGTGGGAGGTTCACCTCTCCTCCTGTATACAAAGCTCTCAGTGATGTCATGCCATATTGACCTGCAGGGGGGGGATCAATAGGAAAGCGCTAAGTCTCCCCTTTGCCCCTGGGTGGGCGGGTCT